TTAACACTGAAAAATATAATATAAAATTGTAAAAATTGAAAAAAGTGCATAAATATGCATTTAAACCCCTGAAATAAAGAATATCATTAATACTTGTAATAAAAAAACAATAAATTAGTATAAAAAAAAAAGTTCGTTGTAGGAGTTTCATTCGTTATAGCATTCTCAATTTTATCGGTAAAACCGTTCGTTATAGGAATATTCGTAGTAGAATCCATTCGTTACAGCATACCCCACACATCCAAAAAGATAAACAAACTAAATAGAAGTACCACTTCCAGCACTACTGTAGCTGTGCTGGTCCAGATAGTACCCACTGTGGTGGGAGTTAGGCCTAACGCTACACTAATGTCCACAGCACGTTCACGTTTGTCAAAGCCGTTTAAAAGCTCCTTTTTTTTTGTAGCAAGACTAATGGTCTTGCATTGCCTCTTCACAACACTAGCATCAAACACTTGATGGACACTTAGGAGCCATTTCGAATGGTTACAGTACAGTATTTACTGTATTTATGGCAAACGCACTTAAGCACACACGTATGCTGTGGAAGCTTAACAAAGACGGGGAAAAAGTCTTGGATGCTGTGACGCTCTGCGAGAGAGCGTAGCAAGCCAAGATGAGAGAGGGTGGCTCGCCGTATAAAGTAGTCCGTGTTGGGTAACAACGTTATAACGAATCGGTTGGGTCATAAAACAACATTGTCGGACTAATGGGTATCTATAGAGTAGCAACGAAACAATGTTGTCTGGGACAACGTTAAGCGGGGACTTACTGTCATTATTATTATTGCATCATTATTAATATTACTATCATTATTATTACTACAGTATTACCGTAACGCCAAAGTCCGGAGATGTTGAACTCCAAACAGCACCCAACGAAGCTGTCCCAAGCATGGCCTTAACAGCAGCAGGAGAGTTAGGAAGGTAACCCACGACACGGTCTCCATTCTTCACACCATGACCCTTCAGTGCTCTTGCATATATACCAACTTGTTTGTATAATTCTTTATATGTCACATTACTGATGTTTGGCTGCCCTTCCCCTGTAGCATTGGAGGAGAGATAGAGTTGTTATACTGTACTATATAACAAACTGGTTAAATTATTATACTGTATCTATAACAAAAATGGCTATACTATTATTACTGAACCTGTAGCAAATGTTGTCTGAAGTTTATTTTTATATACCGTACAGGAAATGAAACCATATAGAGGAAAACTATACAACATAATACTAATAAACTTTAACTGTCTGTCACCTGTTGCATAAATGGCCACTCGATCATCCCGGAAGCGTAGAAGATTCTCAGCGAAGTTAAGTCTCGCGCCCGAGAACCATTTTGGTACTTGTGTGATGCTGAGACTCATGTCCACAATTTGGGTGGGCGGAGAAGAGTATACGAACCTCCCAAACTCCCACCATGTCTCCCAGAAATGTGCGTACTCTTCCACCGACCACTTGTACAGTTCATGATAATCACCTGTAGAAGGAAGAAGTTGGTAGTGTGTTAACATGGGTATCACTCACCGTGTGTCCTGGGTTCAACCTCTGACCTGGGACAGATGTGAGAAGTGTGTTATCTAGTGACAGTTTCCACCTGTTACCTAAAAGAGTTCTTGATAGAAGACAACTTGTTTCTTTATATCATTTTGTCTTCCAGCAACAGTTGTGACTGTGTGTGACAAGACAGAGGCAGTAGTCACACCCTAGACAGAATTAACACAGGTATAATTGTCCATTAATCACAATGGTGTTGTGTAAGTGTCCAATGCCCTGGGGTAACAATGTATACCTTTAAGAACACAAGAATGAAATAAACTGCAGTAAATGTGTTGACTCAAGTGAGACGGCAAGTCCTGTTTACACCCATTGCTCGTATGTCTGACCAACCTACTGTACTGCGCACATCATTGCCATTCCTAAAAAAAAACCTATAATTCATATTACGCTACATAACATTCAAATCCACCGCGCTTGTAGAGTCTCAGAGCACGGGTCATTGATAAAGACTAATTCACCTAATGAATGTTACGGAATTATTTGATGAATTGTACCCAACTACGGGTTTATAATAGTAATTGCATGTACTCATTGCATTAAGGAGAACTCAAGGTACCTATAGGAGGGTTGTGAGAGTCCAATTAATCTGGGCTAGTGTACTATCCGGGCTAAGTGTAGATCGTGGTTTGAAGGTCATACTATTTATGTCTGTGAATGTTTAGTGAACATAACTTCCGCAGATATCAGATGAAAATACACGAGTGGGTAGCATGTTAGCTATCCCGAAGAGGAGACGTGTTTTTCCCACTCGTTTTATACTCATGATCCCTCTCTAAGTCCTGCCCTTGTGAAGACAGTCGTCAATACGTTTATTCCACTTTCTCCTAGCAAGCTCAATGTTGAATTAGTTTATGTAAATCAACTCGAGTAATTCGCCAGACCTTTGTCAACTGAGGGTCATCTTTGAAGGTGTAACAGTTGGTTTGTTTATAATTTCTGTCATTTCGTGAGTAGCGATCGCTGGCAACTCGGGTATATAACCACGGGTTAGCGGGAGGATCAAGCCTCCCGTAATGCCATCCAACTTTGTTGTCCTACAGGTATGTGGATGTGTTCCCTAGTCATTCAGTTTGATTCAGTCAAATGTAGTGAATATCAGTGTTCATGCTGTGACAGTGTAATTGTTATTCACCCAGTGTGAGAAGAAATATAAAGTAAATGTCGTCTGATGCTGCGAGACAAAGGATTTGTTGTGATTGTGTTGTCCATGCTTCCCTCCCGTAACACCATCCAACTTCATTGTCCTACAGATCCAGGGTGGGCTTAATTGAACACCGACCAGTCGCTCGGAGCCGGGGGATATTCAGCAGTGATCAATATATGAGCGATGGCGCTAATTCGGCATGATTAATCTGCTCCACTCTACCTCGTGGAGCCAGACCCCAGACTCGCCATGTGTCTGGCTACCACCGATCACAGCCACGGTCGTGAGCCCCGGTGTCCTACCCTGGGACGCTTCCTGGAAGTTATATGTCCACAGTGTTGTTGAATGTGTTTGGGGGTAATTCTGGAATAAGTATCCCATGTTGGGTAGTGGACCCATCTATGAGTTGGTTTCAGTAATAACATGTTGTGTGTTGTGAGTGCATCTCATATGCACTACCAACAGTAAGTGAAGTATCATATGGAAGTTGTCATGTATGTAATGAAATGTATCACCAGTAATATGGGTGCAGTAAAAGTATCCACTTGGATTGGCTGTTGAGAGAAGCCAAGGAATTATCATGTAACTTTGTAATGTAACACCAGTAAGGTGGTGAGTAATAAGAGTAGTATCTGAGTAATTTGCAGTTGAGTTATATGTTAATAATATTTTTTTCCCACTTTGATTCCATTGTAATAAACATTTTCTTAGAGTATATCAAGCAGGGCTGTGGAGTCGAAGACAAAACCTTCGACTCCGACTCCGACTCCTCAAATTTTTATGCTTCCGACTCCGACTCCGACTCCTTGGCCTATTTGTAACAACTATTTCTACCATCCTAATTGTAATTTGTATGTTGTAACCTGCATAGGTAAAAAGTAAAACACCGTGGCTATACTGCTACAGCTTTATTAATGATCTGGACGATATTTAAGAACTACAAAAAGATGATAGGCTTGACTTTCAAAGTTTCAATCAAAAGAAAAATAAATTTATTAAGAATTCAAGATATTAACTAGAAAACACCATTTACATGTATATCTAAAAGTTCGATCTCAGCATATGAATTTTGTTTAAGCTCATAATCTGATGTGGATCTAAATGATGATCCTACAATTCCTTTTAAAGTAAAGTTATATATTTATGTACATTAAAGAAATGAATACCTTATTAAGGAAAATGGATAAACCTTACATGATTAAGTTATTAAATTAAATTTGCCTTAATCTCACCAAAAACAGGTTGTAGCTAATTGTTTTGTAGCTGAGAGCCTCTGTGCAGTTTTCAACGAAACAAAATTTGATATAATTCAAAATTTCAAATGGTAAAGAAGAGACTATCGTCCAAAATTATAGTGCTATACTGTGCCTGCTACAATAAATTCATAATAATGCTTATAAAATGGAAATAAATTCTTTTAATAATTTAAGAAAATTAGTGGGATCAGTGGAATCACTGCAATGAATATGCCTGAGTTCATATATTTGTTCTTAGGAACAGAATAGCTTCAGTCGGAGTCGGAGTCGGAGTCTGGACAATTTTACCAACTCCGACTCCGACTCCACAAGCCGAAATTTCCTCCGACTCCTCGACTCCGACTCCACAGCCCTGATATCAAGGGTCTTCATTTAACCACAGTAGTTCACCTTTATTTCCGTCCAAGTGACCCTGATATTAGAATTGTAATACCCATGTGCCTAGACCCTCGACATGCTACCAAAAAGAACTGAGGTTATGTAGTAACCAATGAACTGAAGTAAGTAAAAAAAACAATTGAAAGAACTAAGACATGTTATGGTTTCACCCTTCCTTCCCCTTATCGATCTGGTCAATGAAAAACCTAACCCAATGCCTAGTCCACTCTTCCAGCTACCTAACGAGCTACATACTGCCCAGAGGGGGTCTGGTGGCAGCAACCCTTAGAAATTAAAAATAGAGTTAAGTTATCCCCTTAGACTTAGTGACCCCAGATCTAGCAGTATACTACAGTACAGTATTTAAAACTTTTCACTGAGTTCGAGTTAATGTCTGATTTTGACAACTTGTTCTATTCATCTACATCTCTATTTCTGAACCAGTGTTTACCCAATTTATCAAGGTTGGGATGAGTTAGGTTAAGTTAGGTTTTACCCAGTTATTTTTTCTTAATCAAGTTTGGGATGGGTTAGGTTTAATCAAGTTAGGATTTGTACAATTGGTTTTCCTTAATCAAAGTTTGGGTGGGTTTCATACAGTACCATACCATTAAGCTGTACAACTGGTGAAACAGGTTACAGAAAGTGGTGCTGTAGTTAACAGCTGTAGAGAAACTCCCCAGAGATAGTGAAAGTGGTCTCAACACATAGCAACAGTCCACGTCTACAAGGGTTTAATTTTAATTTCGAATTTTTCCTTTCACCACTTATCAGTTTACTCAGACTGTACTAACCGTTCAAGTAGTTGGTCTGTTTCTGGTTACTTTGTTACGACTTTTTTTTTTATCCAAACTACAGGAGGAAAAATTGTCCAGTGTCACTACGAGGAATTGTCCAGTGTTAGTACAGGAGGAAAGCGGACTGTGAAGAGCTGCAGAAGGACCTCTGTGGGCTCCAGGAATGGTCGAAGAAATGGCTGGTGAGATTCAATGTCACGAAGTGTAAGAGGATGCACCTGGGGCGTACCAACGGTAAGGAGGCGTATCATATGTCCCAACGGGATGAAGAGACTGCACTATCTGAGATTGAATGTGAGAAGGACCTCGGTGTGTATGTTGACAATGAGCGGCTTCTTCAATCTTGAGCTGTGACCCCTTGTGGGGAGAGCGTCCGCCAGCTCCACGTAAGGACACAGCTAACTCATGTGATTAAGTTTACCAACGTTTTGGTAAGTACTATGATATCGATTTTTTCGGTACACACTAATGCCGATTTCATCCATTTTATTTCTCTCTTCCTGTGTTGACCTCTTACCGCATCTCATACTTCTACTGTTTGCGTATTAAATAGTGATGACCTATTGTGATGATCTATAGTGATGATCTATAGTGATAACCTATTGTGATGACCTAGTGATGATGATGACCTATTGTGATGACCTATAGTAATGATCTATAGTGATGAGTGGAGGGAGAAGAATATGGAATAGAAGGGAGGTGGAGAGAAGAAGAGTAAAAGGGGAGAGGAAGGAAGAATAACGAGACCATGCTAGTGATCAGTTGACACAAATAGTCTACAATGGTTATCTTTACACACCATCACTTGACCTAACTAAAAGTAATCTATCTTTACTCACATAGTGCGCCTATTGGGTGTGATGACCAGCGTACAGGTTAGGTTAGGTTAGGTATGAGAAACTATGGAATATACTGACTGATATATTGCCTTAACAATACAACAACTATTAATCTCACTGTTATTTAATTCCAATTTTACTCCACAAAGTTCACAATATACGGATGTTGAATAAATGAGTTAGTTGTATTAGGAGTATCGGTGGTAAGGTTTTTATTGTGTTACGAGATATAAACCTGGAGGGGGTCTGAGTCCACGCAGACAACAGCCACCCACTACACAATATTCCTCTTACTTACCCAGAGATGTGCTGTATTTTTGGTTCACAATTTCACGGAATTCGTCAATTTTTGTTTTCTTTCTTACGTCAGGTCTCCACAAACACATGTCTTTGCCATTTTCCTGCATTTTGTAACCTTTAGTTTTACTGTGGTGAGCGGTACATGTGCTCACTACTGAAGTTGTGGTGTGACTACCAGCTGATGCCTGTCTGCCAACCACAGCTCACGGGCCTCTACCTGACGTCATCGTAGACACACAACTCTCACTAAAATTATTTCTCCTGTACAGAGTAACTTAGGCAAGTTTAACTAAATAATGTTTTTCTCTCGCACATAACTCTTATACGTGTCAACATATTGATCTATCTCCTCGCTACCTACATCTACATTGCCTACACAAATACTGACTATATCTGGCACCATAAATATGTGGTAACCTTATAATGCAAAATTTATATCCGCAGAAAAAAACCCGAACCTTAACTACGGTAAAAAGTGAAGGTTGTCAAGATCAAGTCGTGTTCCTCATCATACTGAAACAATCTGTTGGTATAATATTGTGGCTACATAGGTAAGAACTTTAATATAAAACTGTTTTAGATAACGTTTCAAAGTAATCAAAGAAACAATAATTATAAACCGTTATTTTCAAGCACTCGATTATGGCCACATACATACTGGGGTGCCTAATCTTCAGGTTAAGGTTGTGTTAGGTTAATATTATGTTAGGATACTGTTACTTTAGGTTACTACTAGGCCTGAACGTGTGCATAAGTTACTGTTCTTCTGTTTATACTCTGAGCATTAAATAATAATAATAATAATGTATATTTTTTGCAGATGTTTGTGGTAGAGCGGTAATGCACGCATCTCTCACCAATATGACAAGTGTTCAAGTCCTGCTTGGCCCAGAGACAAACTAATCGCGTGAACGGCAAGTAAGCTGCAGATATGGTGAAATGAATAATAATACTTGACGTACACTCCATCTGATTGGTGTACATTACCTATGTACAGGTAACACTGACATAAAGATGTTATACAAACAATTCCTCAACTTTCTACTGCCTCCACCTCACACACACACATCTCTAAGGCCCTAACACATACACACCCTAGACGCATATACACACACTCACACACATACGCAACATTTCTCTGGTATACAGTTAATACCAAGGCACCCAGTAACCTACAGGTGAAGGATATCTGGGCTGGCACACACACGCACACACCAACGTCTCGCCACGCATACACACAGTTCTACACACTGCAGTTCTACTCAGGATGGATAACATACTGTATATTTCTTGCAGTGGTTTAATGATAATAATAATAATAATTACAAAATAATTATGATTATAATAATATATGTCAGTCTAGTGATTTTTTTGCTTCTTGTTAAGTGTAAATAAAGGTGGTTGTGTGTTGTTAAGTGTAACTAAGGATGGGTGTGTGTTGCTAAGTGTAAATAGTTTGGTCCTCAGAAAGTTTATGCAACTCGAATCAGATCCTAAACCCGCCCCTGACTACCGGGTTAAAACTTGTTTATGCAAGGTCGTGTGTGTGTGTGTGTGTGTGTGTTAATGGCAAAGTATTACGGGTCCTTCATAATGTCAAGCACCACTATTATAGGTTTGTCACAAGTGATGGTGACGGCTAGAGACATATTGTAGGAGGGGTCGACCTGTAGGAGGAGGAGGAGGGGTCGACCTGTAGGAGGAGGAAGGGTCGATCTGTAAGAGGAGGAGGAGGGGTCAACCTGTAGGAGGAGGAAAGGTCGACCTGTAGGAGGAGGAAGGGTCGACCTGTAGGAGGAGGAGGAAGGATTGACCTGTAGGAGGAGGAGGATCGACCTGTAGGAGGGGTCAACCTGTAGGAGGAGGAAGGGTCGACCTGTAGGAGGAGGAAGGGTTGACCTGTAGGAGGAGGGGGTCGACCTGTAGGAGGAGGAGGGTCGACCTGTGGAGGAAAGGTCGACCTGTGGAGGAGGAAGGGCCGACCTGTAGGAGGAGGAGGAAGGATTGACCTAGGAGGAGGAGGATCGACCTGGGAGGGGTCAACCTGTAGGAGGAGGAAGGGTCGACCTGTAGGAGGAGGAAAGGTCGACCTGTAGGAGGAGGAAGGGTCGACCTGTAGGAGGAGGAGGAAGGATTGACCTGTAGGAGGAGGGGAGGTCGACCTGTAGGAGGGGAGGAGGAGGAAGGGTCGAAGGTTGACCTGTAGGAGGAGGGGGTCGACCTGTAGGAGGAGGAGGAGGGTCGACCTGTAGGAGGAGGAGGGTCGATCTGTAGGAGGAGGATGAGGTCGATCTGTAGGAGGAGGATGAGGTCGATCTGTAAGAGGAGAAGGGGTCGACCTGTAGAAGGGGTCAACCTGTAGGAGGAGGAAGGGTCGACCTGTAGGAGGAGGAAGGGTTGACCTGTAGGGAGGAGGATGAGGTCGATCTGTAGGAGGAGGATGAGGGTCGACCTGTAGGAGGAGGAAGGGTTGACCTGTGGAGGAGGGGGTCGACCTGTAGGAGGAGAAGGGGTCGACCTGTAGGAGGAGGAAAGGTCGACCTGTAGGAAGGGAGGAAGGGTCGACTAGGAGGAAGGAGACCTGAGGAGGAGGAGGAGACCTGTATCGACCTGTGATGACCTGATGAGGAGGAGGAAGGTCGACCTGTAGGAGGAGGAAGGGTTGACCTGTAGGAGGAGGGGGTGACCTGAGGAGGAGGGGTCGACCTGTGAGGAGGAGGGTCGATCTGTAGGAGGAGGATGAGGGTCGATCTGTAGGAGGAGGATGAGGGTCGATCTGTAAGAGGAGAGGGTCGACCTGTAGAAGGGGCCAACCTGTAGGAGGGAGAAGGTCGACCTGTAGGAGGAGGAAGGGTTGACCTGGAGGAGGAGGGGGTCGACCTGTAGGAGGAGGAGGAGGTCGACCTGAGGAGGATGAGGGTCGATCTGTAAGAGGAGGAGGGGTCGACCTGTAGGAGGAGGAAGGGTCGACCTGTCGGAGGAGGGGACCTGTAGGAGGAGGATGAGGGTCGATCTGTAGGAGGAGGAGAGGTCGACCTGTAGGAGGGTCAACCTGTAGGAGGAGGAAGATTCGACCTGTAGGAGGAGGAAGGTTGACCTGTACCTGGGAGGAGGAGGAGGGCTGACCTCTCTGTAGGAGGAGGATGAGGGTCGATCTGAGGAGGAGGGGGACCTGTAGGAGGGTCGACCTGTGAGGAGGAGGAGGGGTCGACCTGTCGACCTGTAGGAGGAGGGTGAGGGGTCAACCTGTAGGAGGAGGAAAGGTCGACCTGTAGGAGGAAGAAGGGTTGACCTGTAGGAGGAGGGGGTCGACCTGTAGGAGGAGGAGGAGGGGTCGACCTGTAGGAGGAGGAGGTGTCAACCTGTAGGAAGAGGAGGAGGGGTCGACCTGTAGGAGGAGGAGGGGTCAACCTGTAGGAGGAGGAGGAGGGGTCGACCATGTCCAATCCGGGACTCTTATGAACCTTTAGCTTTGAGTCTCTTTCTTATAATCTCTTCTGTGAACACAATGTGGGTCAGTGGTGTGTCGTGCAGCCTATCCTCAAACACAGGAAGATTGTTCGTACCCTCTCTTGTGAACACCGAGGAAAAGAAGCTGTTCAATGCCTCAGCTTTGTCCTGGTCAGACTCTGCGTACCTACCATCGTCAAGCCTCAAATCCGATACTCCTACTCGTGATTTTAATTTCGAGTTTGCATAACGGCAAAACGCCTTTGGATTTGTCTTGACCTCTCTTGCAACCAGCCTCTGGAACTCATTTTCAGTCCTTCTACACTCTGCCTTTGCTTGGTTCCTGGCTCTTGGGTTTGGTCTTGGGTATGTACAGTATTTATCGATCAAATGATTTATTTTACTAGCTATGGTATTTAGTGAAGCGTCCGCGTTCTTATGCCTTAGTGAGTCAGACCAGTGAATGCCCCTCATCTACTCCATCATCCCGTCGTAATTTCCCTTGTAATATTTGCACCTTGGCCTGGTTATGTCGTGCACCGAGTAACAATTAAACCCGAAGGATAGCATTACATGGTGGCTGGTGCCAACTGGGGCTAGATGTTCCAGTTTGGCCACCATACCCTCTTCGTTTGTCATGATGAGGTACAGTGGCTTGGGCAATGCGTCGGGTCTTTCACATATTGGAACTGAAAATGATCTCTCGGAGTTTCTACAAAAAGAATAGCGGGGCTATTTAAGTAATTTGGCGTGTGCTCATTGCTCCAGTCGATGTCGCCATAGTTAAAGTCCCCCTTGATAAGGAGGTGGCTTGGGTTGAGCCTCACTGCGTTGTTCATTAAGGCTCTTAAGTTCCTTTGGTTTGGTAAACTGCAGTTTGGGGATCTGTAGATGCACTTGACAATAAGTACATCTCCTCCCTTCAACTTAATTTTACACCACTTTGATTCTTCATAAACATCTTCTCCCTGTACCCTCACCTGGCTTGCTCTTAGGTCTTGCCTAGCATAGATAACCACACCCCTCTTGCAAGTTACTTGAGAAAGGTTCGTAAATAAGTTTTATCCGTCAATTCTGAACTCACGTTCCTCTGGGTCGATTCTCCTGTTCTTGTACAACAGTTTTACAACTCCTACTATATCGTGTCAGTATAGTGTACATGACATTCAAGCCGGAATTTGTTCTCGGTAACGTCTCTGCTCTTGGTAATAACTCCGGATCCCGTCAATTCTCAACAGCTGCAGCATTTGCTAAATACACTGTGTTTTGCAGAGTGTGAATAGAAATGTAATTGTTTACACGGCGCTCGCCTCTTCCTGGGTGGGAGGTAGAGCTGGTGCCTCCTCTTGGGTGGGAGGTAGAGCTGGTGGAGGGTGTACCGCTACTAGTACCCGTCCCTGTTCAACCTCGACTCCTCCCTCCTCTGCTTCAAGTCCTGCATGAGCTTCTTGTGCTGTTCCCTCTGTAATATCATGCGATCTGGGTGAATGAATACATTCCGAAATGTCTCGCTCCTTGCTAAGTTTTTTGCCTGCCGAATAATTTCCCAATTCTTCTCTTCACTCACTAGTGTGATCCTGAGGGGGCGAGGCTTATCCCCCTGCTTTTGTCCCAGCCTCCTCACATCCTGAGGATGGTATGACGTATTCAGAACCTCTGTACAAATACTCTCAATCTGCAACGCGTCGTGAGAGTTGTGAACTCTTGGAACAATCTACCTGAAAGTGCTGTGACGACACCGAGTGTGA